GCTCTCAATCCCAGTGTCATTTGATCTGCTTTCTCCGGCTGCAGAAACACAAATGATGATTAACACGTTCTAAGTGTTCTTTCCCTTAAACCTTTCTTCTGCATAAATGAGCTGGTGACGGATTTCTGCTGAACAGTGCTGAAGCATCTCTGCACCTGACTTCCTAGCATACGGGATCATCCAAACTCACAACTTCAGTCTAAGCTCTATTAAATGACGGATGTCACTCACAGATCATTAGTTCAGTGGATGTCAGATCTAGTGCGGATATTTTCCAGACAAAAATGCTGTTAAAATAAAAGTAGGAAGAGAATATGAAGTTCTGAATAATTATCTATGTTATATTGCTTCTTACAGATTACTCACCATTAAACAGACTTAGGTCTTGTTAACCTCAGGAAAGAAAGAGCTGAAATTCTTTACGTGTACATAGGGACACACTTACTTCCTTGTAAAGCACCTCATGCATTTGTTAGTACTACTTCCAGCGTACAGTAATTAAGATTTATATAGCTTGAGGATATTTGATGTTAACACTGGAAATTACACTTTTCTGTAATCAGAATGTAAATGAGAAAAAAAAACAAAGCACACTTGAGACTCTGTGGATATGGAACTGTCATTTATATTTAGTTTGGCACTGCAGCTCAAAGGTGTTGATCAGAGAGAGGTCAAGGACATATCCAAACTGAGATTCACAAATACTGGACACAAAGATTTTGGGAGTTTGGAATTTTGAAAGAAGATTTAATAACAGCAGAAAGCTCTCTGTTCTCCAGAGTAAGCACAGCCGTTTCTATATCACTCTTTTCAGCGTGTAATAAAATATCTCTACTGGGGGAATCCACAGACACCTAAAACATGAACAATCTTTAAGGGAGATTCTGCTTTGTACGTTCTTTTCCATAGGATTATTGTTTCAGGATAACTGTGTCTCCGCTCTGGAAAATATGCAATGGTCATAGGGAAAAAAAATAGAAAAAATAATAAAATCAGCTTCCCATTTTTTTGAGGTAATGCAATTGTGAACCTCATGAAAAACAGAGAGAGAAGAGGGAGTTCAAAAATTATTATGATGGACATACTTAGGATTCACCCTTTTCTCTTTCTAGCTATACTAGCTAGAGAAGCAAAACCTATGTGTTACTAACGATTGTAACATAGCAATGAGACTTAATTCCAAGAGACATTTTTATTGGTAAATGAGTATCCTTGTTCTTTTAAGAAGCAAGAAATGTTTTAAAATTACATTGAAGAAAAACATTGAAATAAAAATGGGAGAACTGAACTTAGATATGATCTGAGAGACTTACAACTGACAGAGGAGCCGGGAGCTATACAATGCCACTAAACTCACCTAAATTCACACTGGAAATGGAAGAATAAAGTTCTTTCAGAAGGGAAGAACATCTGCAATAATATAGGCCTTGTTTCTTAATTCAAAAAGAATGCTGCACATATTGCCAGGATCTGAGCTGTGTATACTTTGAAAAGTAGTTATGGATAGATACATTCTTATAGCTGCTACTTTCTTTTTCCTTCTATTTTTCTTTTTTTGTGTTTTTTTTTCCCTATTTTTCTTTTCCTCTTTTTCTGTTTTTTTTTCTTCTTTTTCTTCTTTTCTTAAAAAAAAAAAAAAAAGTCAACCTACATCATGACTTTTTCAGAATCAGTGAGGAAGTGACTAGATGACCTAGAAACTGAACATCAATATTGGGAAACACAGAATTGTCAGTTTTGGGTTTTTTTTTCACTGTACTGAGGCAGTGGCCTTTATACCCATGATTTTAAACTTGCAAAAGTGAAAGCTAAGTGTAATAAGGGCCTAAATGACATGAATGTGTCAAAAATGGAACCCTAAAACTATAGCCTCCAGGGCTGCAAATATGCACCTGGCATCCTGACATCTAGTAACTGCTTTATTTTTTTAAATGTAGGTGAGATTGGAACTGGTTTAGTTGAATTTATTTCCCTTTATAGACTATTTTTTTAATGCAAAAACAAAAAAGGGAATTAAAATTGAATTAGAAAATAAGAAATTGAAAAATTATTTAAAATTTAAATAGAAAAGTAGTGCCCTTCACCCCAACAGGCCTTGAGTACACTGCTCACTTTTAGCCAAATTTGAAGCACTGTCATTTAAGAGATCAAGAGATAAAAAATGTAATTTCAGACCAGTGAGCAAAACATAGAGCTCAGATGATAAATATCCCCTTTGGCAGCAGTTGTGGGCAATGAACATGGAAGAGCTCCCAGCTAGCTTTAGCCTTACTATCATGTTGTCGTTAGTCTGCTACTAATGTGATGGGGCCATCGAAGACAAGGCTTGTTGTTGGAGGCAAGGAAGGAACACAGAAAAGGTGTTCCATCAGAAAGGTTTCATTAGCTCATTGCTCACTGAATTACTTGTTTTTAATAGTAAGAAACAATTTCATACACTTCAGAGAGTCAGGTTTGCTAGAGGTAAAGAACAATACAGCTCATGGGAATACCAAGGTGTGCTAATTATATCATGGCTGATCCAGTCTGGCATTAAAAACCCTCCTAGGAAGAATTCACCCTGTGAAGAGATTCTTTGATTTAGAGCTGAGAGACTTGCAATAACCACATACAACAATAGAGCTAGAAAACAGTTCAAGCTACTATTTACTAGTAAACAGTGGCATTAAAATAGAAAATTACAATCTTGCAGAAACTCCTGAAGAAAAAGCCAAAAGGTAGGACATAAACAGGATTCACCTAAAGGCATAATAATTCCCTCCAAACATAACTTTATCCTAGAGCTGCATAAAATATCCCTTGGAATAACTGTGATTCTAGTAATCTTGAAATTGTTAATGTGCTAGTCAAAGTTGCCATATATTTTGGATGCAAAGAGAAAGAGTAATTCCTTGTAAAACCACAAGAAACAGGGATATCCTGTCTTAGAAAATTGCCATAAACATCAAGAAAAAGATCCTATCAGGCTGGGACCTTTCACTTCCTCCCATTAAGACTGCTTTATTTTGCCCTTTACAGCAAATTAATCCATATGAGCATCATCTGGAACCCAGATGTTCAATGACTTGAGTATGTCATGCTCTGGGCTGAGTATGATAATCATTATGTTTCTAGGCATGAAACAGTCTTCCCTTTGCCAGCTTTTTCTCCAGCTAAGTTTTATGAATCTAACCTTTCATTTCCCATTTCTTTGTTCTGTTCTGCAAACCCCAAATATTTCCTTTGGAACTGAATGGTAACTTTCATATGCCACTGACTTTTCTCTTAACGTTTTGCTTAGGACAAGCAACAAAACAAATTTCAGTCTGGATCAAGCTTTTTTTTTTTTCCCCTAGTTTGACTAAGAGAGGAATAATCTATTATTTATATCCCTATTCTCTACATAAACAGCTCTCTCTCCAGGGAAAAGATAAGACAAAGAACAAACCACCTATGACAGATGTTGCTCATATTCTTTCATGCACTATGTGAAGCTGTTCAGATTCTGCCATGGTGAAAGTGGCATGTGAAAATGTATAGAGTGGAAACCACAATGCTGTTCTGAGGAGAGGAAATAACTTATGTAAAGCATTCTTCCTCTAACAAATCATCCTAGAAGCAGTCTCATCAAGGTAAGGAAGCCGTTGGGACACAACTCTACAAATTAATACCTTGCTTCCTGATTGTGCCTCCTCCCTGTTTTACACCTGAATATTTACTTTGCAAGTTCCTAGATGAATACGGCACAAATTAGCTGCAAGACCCTGATGTTTGGGGCACCATGCTTGAATTTAAATCACAGGGAGCAGAAGTAATGGAGGCCTTAAATTAAGGAATTATCAGAAGACAGCAAGGAAAAATTTATTTTCCTTAATGCAGAACACAATGCAAATGGTTGAAAAGAGGGAAATGAAGTAATGTCAATTAGCGTAAGACAATAACAGTACCTTGTACATACACCTATGTTCAAATAGGCTTTGAATAACTGTGGCTTGCTAATTGGGAACTATATGTGTAATTAAGATGATCCTGTGTTCCTTTCTAAATTGAAAGTGTGCTCTTCCTTCAGTACACACTTTCTGTATGTTTTCTTTTAGTAACAGCTAGGAGATTTTTTTCAGCTGTCCTCATTAGAAAACTCCAGTTTGTCCAAAATGAAACTGTCTAAAGGAAAGACTCATTTTTCATGACTTCCTTCACTGAAATCTGTTTGGAAATATTTGATATTTGCTAAATCTATTTTCTGGGTGTTTTCAAGGAAAAAAAAAAGTTGAAATTATGACCCCCACTGGCAGCGCTAAATTTTGCTTTCAATAAACATGGTATAGTAATGGTTGAAATAAAAGTAAGAGCTAAGTATACCAAAACTATCAAAAAGAAATTATTCAGCTGATCCACTGTTTTTTGAAAGCAATTTCAAATCACACAATAATCACCATAGTTAGAATCAGAAATTAGCCCAAATTTGGACAAGATAAGTCCTTGAAATCCTAAAAAAATGCTCATATAAATTGATACCTTGTCATTTTCAGTGTCAAGGTCTACAGTGAATGAAACTGCAGATGAGGAGAGGCAACTACCTAATATCAAGCATTAAGAAATTAATTACTAAATTACTTGAAATATATTCAGTTAAATTACTGGGGGGAAAAGCAGGAGAAATGGAATTAGCAACAGGGGAAATTACATCGACATCTACAGACACATCTACAAATATAGCTGTAGCATTATGGAAGGCAAGGGCCCTGGGTCAAAAATCTGTGGTTTCCTCAAAACCATAGTGCATAATGCTTGCTAGTGGAAATTAATCCCATTTCCATAAATATTGCAAAATCCTGTTATAAATAAGACATTTCTCACTGTGAGAAGAGTTTACTAGGTGTTACCATCAACAGGGTTATTACTAAGCCTGTGTCCCATCCTGTGTGTAGGCTGGTCCTTGGAATCTAAAACATAATTTGTTTTAAATTTAAAAAACTGATTTAAACTATGGAATATGATACCACTGATAAAATGCTCACTATGAAAACAAAGCTTCTCCATGTACTGGGGCAATGAAAGTGAAGATGCACTGAGGAACTCACACCAGTGGTAGTATTTGAAAACACCTGCCTTTTCCTTTTGAAGAAGATGCCCAAATTTGGACCGAATATATGGGAACAGCCAGACAAGTCCTCAGCAATTCGGATTGCTCCACTCCCAGTGAATTGTTATTCATCTACTGGCAAAGAACTGAACCAGTATTATAATAAATTAACTCCACTATGCTGTTACTTTCCTAAGATTAAGTATTGCCTTTTACTTCTGAGTAGCTGTCAATGCTTAAGTCAGATTTAGTCAAAAGACATTTGGCAATTTTAAAAGACACCTGTCCAATTAAGAAAAATTTCTTGGCATTCAAATCTCAGTCATCTTGTGCCAATGAGCTAATATTTAAATGTTCTGCAAAGTTCATTACTCCACTATTACAGTGTAAAAATAGCGTATGAAAATAGAAATAACATTTCTCCAAAAGAACCCAATATGTCTGCATAGAATGCTCAAGCAGTGCTGGTATGAAATAGAATACAATCTATGTCTTTATAAGGCTCTGCAGAAAAACAAAACAGTTCAGTATACATTCATCTAAAATGTTATGAATGAAATATAAGTCACATAGGGTCAAGAAAACTGTTGAAAGTGTTCTCCTCTTGACATCCTCTTAAATTTCCTGTGATTGAACTTGGAAAAGATCATTGATGAACCCACTAAAGTATTTCAGGCTTGGTATGTACAGACTACCACTGGATGGAGTTCAGCAGGTGCCAAGAAGCATTATCATCTTACTTCTTTCTTAAGGTGTTATGTCACCACTCCACAAAATCATTGAGGCATGTGTGTGCCTGAACCTCAGAGGAACTTCACTGATGCTCTGTTGGCTCAGGTCATGAAAGAGCAATCAGATATAAATAGGTGTTAGACATGAGAATGGTGAAGCCTAAGTTTCTAAGCCTGAAGAAGCCTTAACATTCCATGTTTTCAGGAATTTAGGTGCAAAATAAGCACATCGGGTCATTTTGCAAGCTTTGGGCTCTTCAACAGCATCTGCATGGGACCTCAGACATCTCAGACACGTTTTTCTTTCCATGCTGGATACTTCACTTTGATATTGGCAACCACGGACCAGTTTCTCAGCGTTTTATTGCATCTGGGCCAAAATATTTATGGTCAGCAAGCTCAACATGTAGTGCCAGCTTTATTCTACACACCTTTTGCCTGCCTAAGTTCAATTGGGCTTTTGTACCCTTGTTAGCCTTTCAAGGTCATTATAGCCGTGAGAAAATTTACAGGTTTCAGTTTTACACTCAGCATAATGTGCAATTTTTGATACTGTATTTTTTACCAAGGAAGTCCCAAGGACAAATATTTTTATCCCTATGTATGTGATTATATCTAAATTCAGTTGAGGCCAATTGGAGCCAGATCCTCAGAGGTATTTAGGCATCTACTAGACACCTACAACACTGACGTCTATGGCAACCAGGCTCCAAAATATTGAAGATTCAGATATTGGAACCCTTCTGATCAACTGAACTCTTGATAGTATTCTCCTAAGTAGTTCAACATAACAAGAATTTGTGTTACAAACATAGCCTATATAGGAAAATTTGCCTTAGTCTTGGATTAACTGGATCAGCTCAACAGATACACATCACATGTTTCAGAAGTGTGAGAGAAGGTAAAGCTCAAGGAATGGCTTGCAGGCAGGAAATGAAAATGGCTTCTGAGTAGGATTTTCTTGTCAGCTTTATGATGAGTCTACACAGTACAGGCATTTGGGACTCAAAACTGTCTCACTAACCATGTCAGCATCAGAAGCTGCTGTTTCCTCAATTCCTCCCCCAGAGATTTGATTACTCATCTGTACTCACTAGTCCTCTCAAAGAAGTGCTAGAGAAATGGAAACAGAGTTCTTGGATGCCCTGGAAAGTCCTTGCTGATAAAACTCAAACCACTCTTCCTTCTTCATAGAAAAGGAGAGAATTTTAGGGGTTTAAATTTGAGCAAGCACCTGTATGTCAGTTTCTGCCAGTGCCATTTTCCTCCCTCCCTCTAGCTTCTGAAAGATAAGCAAATAAGTTTTGCAGTTACACAGTTCAGGCTTTTCCTATGAGCATCTCATCTGTGCTTGTGCACAGTGTTCAATGAAGGCAACTTCAAATGGAGATTGGAGTGTGACCAGCAGGTTGAAGGAAGTGATCCTGCTCCTCTGCTCTTGTGAGACCTCACCTGGAGCACTGTGTGCAATTCTGGTGTCCTCAACATAAAAAGGACATGGAACTGTTGGAACAAGTCCAGAGGAGGCCACAAGGATGATCAGGGACTGGAGCACCTCCTGTATGAAGACAGGCTGAGGAAGTTGGGGCTGTTCAGCCTGGAGAAGAGAAGGCTGCGTGGAGACCTCAGAGCAGCCTTCCAGTGTCTGAAGGGAGCCTATAGGGATGCTGGGGAGGGACTCTTCATTAGGAGCTGTAGTGACAGGACAAGGGGTAACGGGTTCAAACTGAAACAGGGGAAGTTTAGATTGGATGTAAGGAGGAAATTCTTTCCTGTGAGGGTGGTGAGGCACTGGAATGGGTTGCCCAGGGAGGTTGTGAATGCTCCATCCCTGGCGGTGCTAAAGGCCAGGTTGGACGAGGCCTTGGTGAGATGGTTTAGTGTGAGGTGTCCCTGCCCACGGCAGGGGGGTTGGAACTTGGTGATCTTAAGGTCCTTTCCAACCCTATTCTATGATTCTGTGATTATATGTGCTGCTGTGAGACAAAGAATATAAAAATATGTGTTTTGCTAGTCAATATTGAAAGACAGAACTTTATGCATCTTGCAGTCCTTCAGTATGGATTTTTTTTAACCACTGAGAAATGCATGTTTGAATGCAAGTGAATTTTGCTTTGCTAGAAAATTGGGCTTTCCCTACTGTAACTGCTAAAAAAATTACGGCAATTTTGGTTTGATGAAAACTCCTCTACTTTTGCTTAACTCCCTACCTCCTATTTGTAAGAACCACAAAGTGAGAGGCATGGCAAGTTGTGGAAAGGACTCAGCTGGTCAAAATCTTTCCTTTCATGTTAAAATCCATTTATTCTTGAGGGGCATAATGTAACAAAAAAAGAAAGTGTGTATAAGTATGCAGAACCCTAGCAATTTAAGTCTTCAGCAGGTCATGTTGCTACACAGGCTTCACAGCTAGCTCCCACCATTACTGAACAAAAGCAAAAAGCATAGCTACCATAGCAACAGCCACAACACATGATGCTGGTATTTCCTTCTGAGATCTTAAAGCCCCACTTATTTTTAAGGAAACATGCCTTGAAACACTTCAGCTGCACTTGCAGGACTTTGTGGTTCTTGTTAACGTGTACTTGTTCTAATGTATTCATCAAGCAGCTACTCCTGCTGGGTGGTTTTAGAGAAGGCTAAGAGAGAGGCTGCGAGAGTACTGACAGTTTGTACATAAATACTGTACATATTCATTGTCAGTTGTTGCTGGAAAGATGTATTGTCATGTCTTTCTATGTTTAAAAACAGAAAGGAAAATGAGAAGCTGTATAAAACAGCTATTTCCCAAATCAAATAAACACCATCTCTCGCTGTTCTCCTCCAGGGTCATGACTCTAACACATGTAACACCAGTTACACAAGTAAAGTCCTGGACTCCCCTGAATGAATCGTTTCCATGTCTGTCTTTTCTGCTTTCCCATTAACTATCTCAGAGTGGGATAGTATCTGATATGAGTTATCATATTACTTCAAAATGTTAATCAGAGGTAGGATCTTGGAGCATTAATCTTATATTAGCCAATAATTTACACCTATGTTTCACTGTTTTATATGGAACAAACAATACTTCTAACCCAGCTATGGCAGAGGACAAGAACATAAGAACTGTCTGTTGTCTTTAAAAAGAAACTTCTAATCCTTGCTTCTGGGAGAAATTCGAGGGAGGTAACCCAAAATGACTTTGTCTTGGTACGCAGGAATTACAGCTGGCAAAAAAAGGGGATCATGAAGCAAAGTTCTGCTGGTGGCACAGCCTTCTGGAAGAAACGTAAATGCAATTTTTAGGAGAGTTCAGACTTCAGACACCTGCTTGCAGAGCAGGTCTAGTATACACTGACATTATACTCAATTTCAATTGCTCTACATAAGCACATTCCTCCAGTTAGCACTTGATGAGTCATTGTATTTATTACATTAAAACCTCGAGGAAAAAAGCCAATGTTGACGTACACTTCTAAATAGGGAACATTAGCTTAGAAAATATACTAGTTTTGATTAGCTAACTTTTGTGACTGTCTTAGAAACAACCCACAGAGTCCGCAGGTTGAAATCTGCTGCTCTGAACAACTAAACAGCTTTGTATAGTTGCAATAAGTTGTATAGCTGCACCTGATACAGATGTAGCCTTATGCAGGCATCACATAAGTTGATATATATGCTATTATTTCATTTTGATGATAATCCACTCTAGAAGAGAGCTATACAGAGACAGAGCAGCAAATGTCTGAGAAAGCATTTGAGTAAGGTAGAGATCATTGACAGTGAGTAATGGTTTCATATAACAGCAAATGTCAAAAGAATAATTTACAGATAATATTAGGAAGGGTAAATGAGGAGACAATGGTTCAAAGTGAAAATAAGATCAGGGTGCAGTGATCCAAAAATTGTATTTGAAGGCTATATAATGCAAATACAAAGCTGGCAGTGCTGCACCCCTTTGAAATAGAAGAAAGCGTGCAGTCTAATTGTTAAATATGGCTGCATTTGCTGAACAAAGAATGTTATCAGCAAGACAAGAAGAAAGTTAAGTAGCAAGTGTGGGTAGTCACCTTCATACAAATGGGCAAAGAGTATGGATTTGTACATTTCTGTTTAAATTCTTTGGGTTTACCGTGTACAAGGGCCATATCATTTTTCCTACCTTTACATATGATGCTGAATACACTGGTTGGATTGTTCTGCTTACAGTACTGATACAGATTTCCTTTTGCTTATGAGTCATAGAGTCATAGAATAGTTTGGTTTGGAAAGGACCTTAAGATCATCCGGTTCCAATCCCCTGTCATGGGCAGGGACACCTCACACTAGAATATGTAGCCCAAAAGTGTGTCCTACTTGGCCCTGAGCACTGCCATGGACGGAGCATTTACCACTCCTTTGGATAGAGGTGTCTTGTCTTCTTAATTA